ATAAATCAGAATTAGCACCAAGTTTAACAAGGTTGTCCAGTGCTTTGTCTAGTTCAGCACTGAAAATCTCATTGAAGAGACAAATCACATTTTCACTGTGAAATCACACCAGTGCTTAAATACACTCTAAGGAATAATTTCTTCTTTATATCCAGTCAGAAAATATTATCTTCCAATTCACAACCAGACACCTTCCCCCTCTGGGCTCCTTTCCTGGGTACAGGCAGGCTGCTGTTAGGTGCCCCAGAGGTGCCCCTGCCCTGATAACAGCAGCTGCTGTTATCTCCTGTAACCGTGGGGCCGTACCTACACATGGGGGAGGCTGCCCTGGAAGAGCTGCCAGCTTCCTTTGGCTCTCCACAAGTGCTTTCCATTGCACCTAGCCCATCCAAAGACCTGTGGTGGGTGCTGGATTTAATGACATTAATTTGAGGTGGTTTTTTTCTGGTTGTTTTTTTTGTTGTTGTTGCTTGTTTGGGGTTTGTGTTCTCTGTCTGTTTGTTTTGTTGGCATATTTTAAATCAAAACTTGAATTGGGAAAAAAACCATTATGAGGAAGACACATTGGAGAAACATAATTGAAACATATTTAACTGTTAAATGCCAACCAGAATATACCATTACAAAGAATAGTCATTTTTCCTGTTTAGTGGTATGAGCCTATAATATTGCTTTTGATATTCTCATTTTTTCAAAGGAAAATAGAAAACAATTAATTTAGCACTGGCTGAGACGTTTTTATTTTGTTGTTATCCTCTTTGGCCAGGTCTGTTTGCATAATCATTTCAAAGTGATTTGAGTTCTGAAACGCTGAAAATGAGTCTGTTTTATCTGTGCCTTTCACTGCTTTCTGCAAATCTGGAAATGTGTTTTTGATAGAGAGAGGATCAGCTCCAAATCGTAAAACTAAATAACCCTTCAAACTTTAGGGAATTCAAGCTGCCAACCAGACTTCAATCCTGAGTTTGGTAAATGTCAACACCCTTCCTTGGGCAGTGAAGCAGAGTGAAGGAAGAAGTGTTAAATAGGATGGGGAGCTGCCTTAATTACTTGAATATTTTTAAAATTTTTTTCAGGAGACATTTAATTCAGGAACACTTGGTTGTTTCAAATCTTGTGACCCTACTTAGCTTTCTAAGCTGGTACTTTGGTTAGATGGAGAGAAGCTAAAAGACAGCTGCTGATAAAGCGGCATGGATGTGATGTGACTACAAAAACGACACAAAATTGTCCCATTCTCATTCATAATTTAAAAGAATCTAGAATTCTATGAATATTCTTTGAAACAATGACTTCATCTAAAAAGGAATTGTCAGTTCAAATTATATTTGTATATGGCTTCTCAATCTGATTTGGATTTATGGGTTTGTTTATCAACATTAATTGTATTAAATTACCTGCAGTGAAATATAAGCCCTTTGAGAAAAAACAGTTCTTTAGCAGTGTTTGGACAGACCTTGCTCTAAAGCAGCATAAAGGTGAGTGTGAAGACATTGTGGGTGCTGGTGAGAAGGGGCAGTGTTTGGTCTGGAGGGGTTTTTGCTGCCAGACATCCCAGGTGAAGAGCAGAGCCCCAGGCAGGGGTGGCACTGAAGCAGGGGCTGGCTCGGTGCAGAGGGGATTGGGAACCCATGGGGACAGGGGATGGGTGGCACCCTGTGAGCCCCATCCCCAGGAAAGGGCACAGCAGGGCAGGGCACCCCGTGAGAGAAATGGAGCAGCATCAGTGCAGGCACAGCAATTCAGGAAACCGAGTGCCCACAAATTCCTTGCTTGGAAAAAGGGACACTGATGGGACAGGGTGACTCCATGGGTCAGCATTCACAGTCCTCCCTATTTGCTACTGACATTGTAAATCTTGTGTAGTTTATGTGGAATCAGTAACTTGATGTTTCTAACTTGGATGTGCTGTTACACAAAAACAATTTCTTCTAAAATATCCTGGCTTTGTTTTGCTTTTTTTGCCACATGTAAAATCTTACAGTCTGTATTTCATGCTCATCTTTACATTGTGTTCAATCAGTGAACAGAAATAACCTCCAAACTACAGCATTTTGGTCCTTCTTGGTTACTAGCTGAGAAAGCTGAGGTCACGAGCTGTGTCACCGGTACAAAGATTGGAAATATGAGAAGGAAATATCCTGTCTCATAAATTAGCATTGCCATAATCATGGTTGTAAAACCGGCTGAGGTGACCTGAGTAATGAATTTTTATTCAGTTTCTAAAAGAATCTAACCTTTCAGCAAACAATAGATATTGCAAAGATAAATAGATAATAGATATTGCTAAGCAAAGATGCTGAACTGATCCAGCAATGCACTCTGTGGGTAGAGCTTCACCCCACTACCTGCTTGTCACATGGCTCATATTGACAAAGGGTAGGGCACAGCCTGAATAACCCCTCTGGAGCCACCCTGGAGAGCCACTGTCCCAGGCTCTGCTCTTGAGCTGTGCCTGAATGTGCCCCAGTGTGCCAGTGTGCACCTGCCCAGCTCTGGTGCCTCCTGACCACCCTTGCCAGCCACTGTGGGCTGCTGCAATGTAATGTGGCTAGATATGCTTTTAATCCAGCAGTTTGATTGCTGTAACTTAACTCAGTATTTTTTTTACTCCAGGCCATTTTTTGCACTGTAAAAGTCTGCAGCTTAGTGCAGGAAATGTATCTTTTCAAGGCAGTTACCAGCATTTCCTGTCATATATGTTCATATGTTACTGACAGGAATTTCATTACCTCTATGTCAATTCACACTGGTTTATTCCATTGTGTAGATGAGCATCTTATTTTGTAATAGACATTCTGACAGCCTGATGTGTGAGAACATCTTGAGGCTTATATAAAACTACATGAAGTCTTGTGCACTTACTGGTCAGAGGAGGAAACTTCCAAGGGACAGTGTAGCATAAAATGACTGGCAGAGGTGAAGGCTGGCTGCAGAATGGAGTTTATGAAAAAATAATTAAATAAGATCGATAGCTACTTGCCATGCAAAAATCAATGGGTAACGCTTAGTGATGTAATTTCTCTCCATTTCCTACAATTTTCATATTTAATATTGCAATTAAACCACACGGCCAAAAGTCTTCACTCCTACAAAAAAAATACAGTTCCATGGTTTCATCATACCATGCATGACATGCCTTCTTTTCTGTCCATAACTTTGTCCTCCTCATCTTTGAAAATCTCCCTAAAGAAATTATTCCCTCTGGCTCCAGTAATTCCTGACAGAATTGAACAGCAGCTGTTAGATGAGCACTGTCAGTTGTGCAAGAAATGGCTCTGTAAGTGCAGAGGAAACAACAGGAGAAAAATTTACCTTAAAAACAAAACATAATTTGGAAACAAATGTCCATTAACCTGTAGTTAGGTGAAATCATATTTAAAGTGTTTGTCTTGCTAAAGGGTGTTGCTAAAGAGCTTGGTAGTAGCTGAGCATCTTCATGTATCACAGTTCTTAACTGGAAATGGCTGGATTATTGCAGGGCACACTTACAAGAACTGTGGGTTTGGAGCATTAATGTATTTGCTTGGTTTATGTCAGAACAACAGCTTCCCAGGAGCTGTAGGCTGTCATTTGTGTGGAAGAAGAGAGAGAGGGGAGCCCAGGGCACGGCACAGAGTAATGGGCTCCTGTTAGAAATAGAGCTGGTTGTTGTACAACCATTGTAAAATACTGTTTTCAGCTATTTGTGACTTTGTGGAACTGGAATAACTTTTGCTGAGATTTTTTTCAAGTGATATATTTGGAAAAAAATCTATCCAGTATTTTGGAGTGGTGTGGACATAAACAGTGAGGTGTAGGAACTTGCAGATGAAGAGGCACTGGGGCCAAAGCTCTTGGACTTACACCATCATCAGTTCTTCTTACTCACAATTAGCAGTAATCTGGATCTTGCCCTTACCCCTCAAGGGTGAACCCCTTTTTGAAAAATGTGCTCCTACAAGTGCTATGACTTGCAGATGCACATTGGGGTGTTTGATTATCTAGTGATAATATAAAGCAGCTGGGGTGTCATTTCTCCTCATCACAGAAGAAGTGATACAAAAGGGAAGCATTTTTCCTAACAGTTAGAGATGGTTACTAGAACTATGTCTGATCTTTAATGAAATAAAAAATATTTTTTATGCAATGACAGTAGTGGCATCAGATAATAGCCTAATTCAAGATTATGTTTTGTTCAAATCATGCAGTTTTGATCAGTAGTTATTTCCCCACTTTGTTTGTCATAAACTGGGGGACCCTGAGACTAATCTTGCACATTTGCTCTTTAGGTTTTTTGAAAATAACATTTCCTCTCTGGTCTCTCTGCCATCTTTTTGTCTTGATGTTGCTTCCTTTTCCAGCTCAAATTCTATCACCCCAAGGCAGAGCTGAGAAGATGGGATTTTCCCATTGATTGAAATCTGCTTTCTTGTACTGAACATGAGACAGGGAAATATCTGTAATTTGATTCATCTTCATAAAGTCTACTTCACTTATTGGCTGAAACCAACCAGCAGTACCTACTTCATAACTTCCCTCAAACCAAAAACGATATAACCAAAACCAGGATATTTGAACTTCCAAATATCCTGCGATTGGTATTTACCCTTTTCATCCAGCCCCTCATGGTACTTGGAGGTCAAAAGAACACATTCTCCATGTAAGAAATGATCCAGTGTTGTCACAGCTTTGGTGCCAGCAGTCTCCTCTCTGCCAGGACAGTCTCTGTCAGGCTCTCCTTGGCTCAGGACAGCTTTGCAATGGTGCTCAACACAAACCTGACCAAGGCGTACCAAGGAAAAGAGAAGCAAACACTGTTCTGAACCTTTATTCAATGACGAGAATATCTCTGTTCTAAATACACCATCATGTGACTTGAACTAAGAGGCTTGTTAAAAAAAGGAGCAAATATGAGCATTAAACTTGCCCTTATTTTGGTTTTCTGTTCCTTCCTCCACAAAAAAACCCCTGATGCCAGCCAAATACCACAACCTTAACCATGACTTCTGTGTTTTCAGGGATCAAGCACCTGAAGAGCCAGAGTGAGTCAGTGTTTCCCGAGGAAGAAGAGGGGCTTGGCGAGCGGGAGGAGGAGTGGGGCCATTAGCCGGCCGGAGTCCATCCCGGAGCCCTCCCGGCCCCGCCGTGTCCTGCCCGCCCGGCAGCACCCGGGCCCCGCAGGCACCGCACACGGGTCCTGACACCCTTCCTCCCGGAAACAAAACTGATATTTTAAACTCGGGTTTTTTTTCTTTTATTTTCTATGACTTAGAAATGTAATTCGCAAATGTGTTAGCTCCCTGAGGTCAGTACTGCCAGAGCTTAACTGCTGCGTGTGAGCTGTATCTAAGGCTTGTTGTAAATAAAAGTGATTTAAAAGGTACAAAATAAATAATACATTAATTTAGACAAGATTGTCTGTTGTACAGAGGGTTTGTCTTGCTAGAGAGAAATGTTCATATAACGTGATCCTTTCAGTTAAGGACAGTTTTACCATTGTTGGTAAAGTGCCACATCCCCCCTGTCACCTGCAGGCAGGACGGGTCACAGCCTTCCTGCCCCCTGTGCACGGCTCAGTGTGAGCCAGTGAGCGACAGCACTGCAAGCTGCACAAACTCACCTTGGGAATGAGCCCAGGGCTTTAACTGAGGTCAGCATGGTTCATATCGTCCTTTTTGTTTTTCAGATCACAAAAAACTCTATGGCATAAAATGAAATAAGGTGGAGAAGGAAAAAAAATGTTTCTTGAAAGTCACACTTAACAGACTGTTTCAATTTTTCAATCAATGGCAGATTTTTAAATTAATTCACTGTCATTTTGTATTAACTGCTTGATACTTAAGTTTTATCCTCACTTTAATATTCCACTGATGCAAGTCTCTTTTAAAGGGCTGAGCTAGCAAAAAAACCCAAACAAACAAAAATAACAAACAAAAAATAAATAAATAAAATCTATTACATATAGGAAAACACAGAGCCTTTTGTCTATGCCTTGCATGGTGATTTCACTGATTTCACAACCTCAGGTGTTCCACGATCTCCTGCTGAGAACAGGATCTATTGACTAGTGTTTCTTTATATTTAAGAGCCATTTTTTCCCTCCATCTGTATCTCTGTATCCTGTCCTCTTTGGTTCCATTTTCCATAGAAACACTGCAAACAGGATCCACTACTGCAGCTCAGCAAGGGTGTGCAAGAAGGACTAAAGAAGACTCTGCAATTATACAGGAGCCACTACAGGACTTACAGGACAGAGCTTTTTATGTCCCAAACAACAAAAAGAAGGAAATTACCCTTCAGAAAGTGTTTGAATGGCCCCAGTCAGGTCTGGAATGGCAGCAAGAAGAGCTGGGCTCTGGTCCCAGCTTTGCCATGGCTTTGCTTTCACACAGACCAGGCTCTTCACAAAATTTCTTGTTGCCACAGTCTGTGTATCAGTCACTGGTGTTTAATTTCACACACATCTCTATGTGCTGCTAGCTAATGAAGCACTTTGGATGTTAATGGCTTTCTGCAGGTTATTGGTACCCACAGGCTGCAGATGAGAACTGCGCAGGACCTGTGAGCAAAGGAAAGCATGGACATGATGTACAGCACTGGAGACCAGGACAAGGTATTGAACACTGTGGAATCTCAGCATTTCAAAGGCAACACCCAAAACACCTGACAGGAGCTTGGAGAATTCACCACTGAACATCCTGTTTCAGGCTGACAGTTGGACTGGAGTTTAATTACACTTTATAAATAATAAGGGGAAAAAAACCCCACCAGATTTAGTTTGAACCGTATTTGACTTTCAGAATGGTATATGTTGTTTATTCTCCAGGTGCAAAATCAGATCATACTTACGTAGACATTAAGAGTCAAGATTTAAAATTTCTTTCTAAAGCATTCTGAAGTATGTTTTCTAAAGCATGCTTTCCCCTGAAGTCAGAGGAATTTTGCTTGAGAAAGACCATAGATTTTGGCTGAAACATACTTTCCTTTGGGGAAATATGATGTGGAGTGTACAGGAAAGCTTCTATTATCCTGCTATCAATTTAATTACTGGATTTCTTGCTTTTTCTTTTTTAAGATTACTATAAATTCTGCTAAAGTCTTCAAGAATTTACCCACTGTCTTCTCATAGCACTATTATTTCTCCCCAGTAATGTAAACTGAAAAATCACCATTAGTTCTTGCACTGTTGGTGTTATTTTACCAAAAGTGTCACATCCAACACTGACTCTGAGGCCGGGCTGCAGGAGAGGTTCTATTGCCTGTGCTTGGGCAAGGGCCTCCCATGGTGTCCAGGCTCCAGGCACTGAGTAAGGAAGGGACTTCCAGTTCATCTGCACCTCCTGTATCACCAGGGGCCAGGCGGGTGGTGGCTTTCACTCTTTGAAAAAAAGCATTTCATTCACTCCAGAAGGTGAGGCATTGGGTGGCTCTCTCCAGAGCTGGCCTGGGTTGGCTGTGATGGTTGGGGAGGGACCCAAGCAGGGCTCCTGCAGGCTGCAGCTCTGCTTCTGTACAGCCAGCACTGTACAACAAAATGGCCTGCTTGGTGCAGGGCTCCCCTCCTCATTTCTTTTCTCTTGAGACAAGTTTTTTTCATGACAGACCTCATTCCAGCAGAAAATAAGGCATTGTCTGTCCACTAACCCTGGGGGGACAATGTAAGGGCACATTTAAAACATGCAGTCCCTCAAACTCCCCTTTTTTCCTCTCCTATTGCATCCATGCTAGTACCCAGGCCCACAGATGTTCTTTTTTCATTCTTTTTATTATTTTTTTTCTATAGCAGCTCAGCGCAAGAGTGAGCTCCAGAAAGAGCCTCAGTTGTTCTGTTGATTCCTGACATGTGCAATTACATTTAACCTTTTCATGCACAGCATTATGCTTGGCAGCTGGGTGGATGCTAAATGCCGTCTGCTTTGCTGCATTCCCTCCTTTATCCTCCACTGAGGATAGCAGCACTTGGAGCAAATCTCAAGCAAGATATTTGTGCACCCTCTGCTAAACCTCAGGCTGTTTCATCAAAGTGGGCTGATGGGGTTTAAACAAGTTCAGTGTCTATATTCTGCTGCAGAGCTTTTGTGGTTTTATTAAATAATCTGGGGGGATTAGGGCAGAAAAATATTTGGTATTCTGCTAGGCCATACACTCTCAATTTTGTAATGATTCATTTGCCTAGTATATACTGACCCTTAGTGGTAAACTGAGATTTTAATTGCATTTCCAGGTTCCTAAATTTTGCTTTCCTCTTTGGCCCAACTGTTCAGAAAATAGCAGGAATATTTGCTGTGCATCAGGATAGTCTATCCATGTAAATAGCCCACAATGTCTTCAACAGACATTAACAGGCATGTGAAAATAATGATGGCAGGTGTTATTAGCTCTTCTGAAGGGAGGGCTGTGGGAAGCAGGAGTGTCGAAAGGTTATTCCAAAATGCAAAACAAGAAGGCTGGCATTGAGAGGCAATACTCTCCACATAATGAGAAACAAATAAGAACTCAGTATCTGGCACTAACGAACACCTCAAGCTAACTGTGGAATGAGTATTAATTAGGTTTCCAAAATAGCATCTTTCTGAAAAGCAGCTGAGGTGTAATATTGCTCCTTATTAATCAAAGCAATGGGACAATGTGAACTCTGCAAAAAATAAATGGTTTGCAGATGGCTGTGTGCATCTTTAATAATGACAGAAGAACACAAGTTACAGCTTTAAATGCCAGGGACCCTTTCTGCATCTTCTCCCTTTCAGAGAGCGATATTTGCAGTTTTCAAGGCAGTGAGGAAAGTGTGTTGGTTTCTTATTACATTTTCCCTGCAGCATAAATTCTGTTGATGTGCTTCCCTAATCATTCTAATTATACTGCCATATGTTGCTCTCATCTTTCTTTTTCTCTCCTAATGGGACATAGATTCTCTCTTTTGAATATGTCATTTGTTTATTACATTTATCAAGGGTTTTAACATTATATGGGACTTTTAATTGCTTTTTTAAACACTCAGCAGATTGAATATTAAAAACAGACATGAAGGTCAACTATAAATAATATTTAAATTGCTCATGACATTTTTATTCTCTAATTTACTGGAAATATCAACTCTGTAGTCATGGTCCTGTATCTGCTATTTACTTGAAACCACACACATGTCCTCCAGAGCTACTTTGGCTGCAGTCACAGTTCTGCCCTACCCCAAACCACCTTGTGCCTAGCAGATTAGGAGTCTTCCCTGGGTGGGAACAGTAAAATAAAGATGCATCATGTATTAAAATGTTTGACCCAAATATGCTGCCATTATTTCCTGTTGTGAAGTCCTGCTGAATCCCAAACAATAAAGGTGAATGTTCATTTCTGACAAGTAAGAAAAATACACTTCTCTTTCAAAGTCGAGCAGTCTCAAAGATAAAGAAGGACAATTTCAATAAAAGAATTCAAGATGGCCTAAACTTAAACACATGCTTTGTAGAGAGACATTAGACCCTCAGAGTACCCTGCACCACAGAAAACAAAATCTGTAAGCCAGCTGAATACAGAGAAAGCAAGAGACAACCAATTACTATCCAATTAACAAATTAATTTCTGGTATAATGACACCATCTCTCTTGGATTTCAATAATTACCGATACTTTCATGTAACTTTACATTTATTCATGGTATTATGATACAAGTCCCAGAGTCTTTCTTGCAGGTTCAGGACTGTTGCTTGTAGGTGCACCAACATTAGGTCCTATGAGGTGATGAGAAAGCTTTAAAACTACAGTCCAAATAAAAATGAAGAAACTTCTGTTTCTGCTTAACTTCCATCTTAAAGTCAAGAGTGCACCTACCATTTTGATTTTTACCCCCTTATTTGGCTGCACTCCATTACTTCTGGTTTGTAATAATGACCTATACAGGATGCTGCAAATGCATAAAACTCAACAGCTTTAAAGTTCATATACTATGTAATCTCAGAAAAGCTGATTTTGTTAAGATATTATCTGTCCAAGTTCAGCTAATGTAAAGTCCCCCAACAATTCTCCACTCAAAAGCCACAAGCAAAGGACTGGCCTAAGCACAAAGAATGTATTTTGCAGCAAAGTTCATCCCAAAAGTTTTATAAGAGACTTTTTCCCATTTTTTATAACAGATTTTTTCCATTTATAACTCCATAATTATGACTCTCTTTGTTCCCAAGGGAAAACTTAGATATTCACAGTTTGATAAAACTTCTGAATGTTTGCCCTGGGACATGGAAAAGAAGTCTCTGGAGACCCATTAAATACTTAAATGACCAGGAAAGTAAAATTATTCCAGGGAAGTAGCTTAAATGTTTGCATAGTGTTTGACAGAGGACAATTTCTTTTACTCATAGCATTAAATTCAATTCCACTCATTTTTCCATACTGTTTTTCAAGGAATAGATTTTTTAAAAAAATATTTTAAAAGGATGTACTCCCCTTTCAGACAAACCTTTTTCTGCTAAACTACTCTATACAGAAATCTCCAATCTGCTGCTGGAGGATGTTAGTCATACTTGCATTTTCCTCTTTCTCATACAATAACTGTACAGTCTGTTCAAAATACACGTTTTAGACACTTACCACTAGTGATCTTGATTTGTTAATTAGAAATTATTTTTATCACAGTAGTGGCTTGTTTGACTTCTGGCATCTCTACAAGAAGAAGGTCCTTTGTGCATGTAGCTCAGATGGCACCTGGAAAAGATGAACTGCAAAGAATGTGGTATAAAGTAGTTGTCTTGATTTGTTTTCATCATGTACCTAGTCAGAATTTGTACATGTTTGAGCCTATGGGAATCTTTCCATTCATTTTCAATCCAAGTAGAAAGGGGCCCTGTTTAATTCCATTTACACTGAACTTGCATTATAAAATTTACACTATGCCATGGAGGTATCCCTCAAAATCACACCCTTCCTGAAGAATTGTTGCTAATAAGTACAGTCCCAGTGGCTCCTTCAGTTTCAACCATAGTATGAATTTTTTTGCATAAAAAATATTTTATTGGTTATGATTTTCTTCATGTGAGGGCTGTTTTAGCCGTAAAGGCTAAGAAGGCAAGACTAGCTTAAAAAAATTGTTTTCAAATGTGCCATGAGGATGTGAGTGAGTTTTGTGTGGCAAACAGGGACAATAATGGGAAAACTGTGGAGTCCCAAATGGGTGAAAGGGTTGGAAAGGACCATATATACACACTGTCACTTCTCAAAATCAGTCATACACAAAGGAGCAAAAATGCTCCAGGAAATCAAATTTGTAACTAACACTCAGGAGCTTCACAATCCTTGCCCTCAAATCAGATTTATTTGGGAATATCATCATAGGAAATATGGACAAATACAGCAGAATAAAAACACACAGTTGTAGATCGCCTTCTTGAAAATTAAATTAAAAAAAAAAATCTGGCCAGATCATAACCCATAACAATATTACATAATATATCTGTCATATATCTCAAGATAAAAGTACAAAATAAAACTCTTGAGGGCTCATTTATAGCTACAGCTGGTCAGTGTGCTCGATGCAGGGTACATGCCCAGAATGCTGTGGGAGAGATGCAGATACAAACACCATTTCTTAGGGCCCCATGCAGTGTTTTGGTAGCGCAGCCTTACAGGTTTCAGAGATAAAGCTACTCTTCTGGGAGAGGCTCTCTCAAGAAGCCTTTCTCCCAAATGAACCCAAATTTCACCCAGCCCAAAGCCTAAACCAGCATGTGTTGGTTCTATTGGTCTTTTCCATCATGAGGAGAAAATTTCTCCTCATCCAAACAACACACCAAGCTTTGGGTCACATCCAGGCAAAATCTTGCTAAGAATAAGGGAAGGAAAAAAGGAAGAGAGTCAGCTGACATTAACAAAAAACTAAAGACTCTTCTTGTATTTCAGTAACATCTACCACAGTGATAAAATCTGAATACAAATGAGCAATAGGATTATTTATAGAAAAATCACTCTTCTGTCCTAATGAATGAGATCTGCAGGCAATGAGCACCTCCTGTGAGACCAGGAGCTCCTTCTAGCTTCTGCAGAGGGAGATCTTGGTGCTCACTATGACAGCAGGACACCGAGAGCCCCACAGGGTGCTTCAAGTTCTCTGCAGAATCTGTTATATTTTCTGCTTGTATTTCCAGGGGAAAATTTTTGCAGCTTAATAAATGTCAACGGGATAGAGACACAGGAAAAAACATTTAAGTTCAATATGGTAAAAGTCTGAAAGCGAAAATACAATATAAAGATTAAATTCTGATTGCTTCGGACTTTCAGGCTCAGTGAATCATAAATTATCATGTTGAAAAACAGTTAGTAGCAAATATCTAACTGGCCCAGTTTTTAAAGATAATAGCTGTCTTCTGTTCTTTTCAAATTTGGTGGGAACTATAGATTATATACTTATCTAAAATAAGTTTCTGACTTCTCAGATCTTAATCAAAAAGATTTTCCACTGCCACAGCATATGGCAACTTACAATTAAAAAAAGTCTGATATGACCATTAAATTTCTTCTCTTGTCATAAGGACAATAAGAAGCCATAAGATGGTTTACATTTTATTACAAAGGAAGAAAAAGAGTCCAACATTCCCAAAAAGGATGCAAAGGTGCACAGAGCGGTCCAGGCTACTAATAATTTGCTCAAACACCAGCAGAGAATATATATAAATTCTTAACTCTTAGCAAAAAATATTGATTGCGTTATAACATCTATGATACAATTTCATCTGTTAACATTTTCATTCGTTAACGGCACTGTACAGAAATTTGTCCATGCTAAATACAAGCCTTGGACCAGATACACAAAACAATTTAAATGTATTTTTTACATCCTATATGCACAAACATTTCTTAAGTTAAAACTATGCATACTACTTATGCATAGCACATATATGGCTTACATATTGAACGACAGGAATTCCACCTCTTGGCATGCCCTTGTCCCAGGGCTCAGAGCTTACGCTGTTCCCAGCTCAACTTTGACTGCTCTGCTGTCAGAAAAGAGACAGTCAACAGGTATGGACATGTGAGGGTCAGCAAAGGGGATTGTTTGGTGATTCCTTCTTCAGTCGGACAGAGCGTGCCCTTGTGGAGGCGGAGCCTGATGCCTGCTGAGCTCCGGTTGGGTCCCTGAAGCAGCACATGAACAGCACACAGGTCCCAACTGCCCCTGGCACAGAGGAGAGAGCCACTGCCCCCACAGGTCCCCTTCAGAGCGGACCATGGCTGATTAGAAAGACTTTTTCTTCAGTGAGGTAATAACCACAGGGTCCAAAAAGGAGAACAGGGAGTGTCAGGAGCCACCTGAGTGCCTACAACCTGAACAGGAGCCTAGAATTTCCTGGCAGCTTCCAGCAGAGGGAAATGAGGTTGGCTGCAGCTGTGTAAGACACCCAGACAAATCAGGAGGGGTCATGTGCAGCTCAAGGGAAGAAGAGATGAAAATGGAGTTCCTTTATGGGCACAGTTTGGGCTGGAGGGCTCATTCTGAGGCTTCTTGCAGAGGTAACTGTCTGTGTGCTGCTGTTTTTGCTGCCCCTCAAAAAGAAACAAACTCTAGGAAAGATGTTGCTGGATGCATGTTGTCACGTTTGCATTGGAGATAAACCATGACACAAGGCCTCTGTGTCACCTTCCAATTCTGTCTGAGAGGCAACACAACATTTTGCTGAAGTGAAGCAATTTTCATGTATTTCTGTTGCTGTCTCTTCCACCCAATAAAACAATACGTACCAGCTTCACGGAAGGGCTGACACCATGGTGTTGTTGTTCAAAATATTACAGGATTCAGAATGTTTTAATCTTTAATGCCAGATGCTATTCAATTAATTTTCAAGAGATATTTCAAAACCTTTCAAATTTGTTCAATACCAGTTCTGTCCATATGGCAGCCACTGCAGGGGGGAAGAATCTTCATTCGTGCAGGCTGGTCAGCGTAACTTTGCAACTTCCCTGTACAGTCTACAAACATTTATTTCCAGATATTTTAAGGAAGCTAACAAGTAGGACTTCTATGGTGCATGCAGCATGATTGCATGAACAAGTATCTAGAAACACATTTCGTTTTGATTTTCCATTTTCAGTGGACACCAGCAGCAGTGACACGTAACAGCAATCCCAGGCAGATGACAAACATCATGTTTTCACACGTCTCATGATTAACTGGAAATGTCTGGTACCAGTGATGCAATAAAGCAAGGTCCAACTTTGGCTGAAAAGATTATTTTGGCTAGTTTAAGAAAGCAGAATAGAAGAGGAAATAGCAACACAAAAACAACTGAAATCTTGCAAATTTTTAAGTGCCTTGAGTTACCAGCTCAGGATTTTACATTTTACAGTTTTGAACATTTTGTTCAATCACTCTCCACAGAAATAGGATGATCCAAGAACAAGTTGACAGATGACAGCCTCTGAGACCATGAGGTAGGAACAGCTAGAGTTCTTTTCTCCTGCAACAGAGGTCAAATGAAAATTCATAAACAAGAGATTTCTGATACTACTACTTCCAATATTCCATATACTTGAATTGAGCATGATTTTTCACATGATCATTTAGTCTGACACTAAGGATTCAGATTTAAAAGTATTGGTTTTCCTTTCTTTATAACGGGATTTTTTTTAAGGTGACATTGAAAGTGGGGTATTCTGTGTCCTCATTTCAACATTTTGTAATATAAGGACAACTAGGATGGAACAAAGAGGTTAAGAATAGCACTAAGCGAGCCTTTATGGTATAAAACACTCCCCATTAAAAGAAAGAAATTACCAAATTACCTGTCCTGCCTGAAATGTCAGAAGCTTATGAGAAATAGCAGATCTAGTTTTGTACCAGTGCTTCTGTCTGCTCCGTGGCTTTCACAATATCTTCGGACTTACAGTGTTTAGGCTCCCCTGCAAGACAAACAGATGTGATTGGCAACCTGAATGAGGCAGTTAACCAAGCCAAGAGAATCTGCACAGCCATAGACAGAATCTAGTTCCTCAAGATATTTTAAGGATAAAATGAGGTTTCAGTCACTGCTTCCTTTAATTGCTTTCTCACCAGAATAATCATCAGCTTGAATTAAATAATCATTATGGTTAATCCACAAGGCAAAAGATAGAATGAAAGCAATAGATCGCAGCATGAAACAAAACTCTGAAGACTTTTACATGAGTGTGAATAAAGTGGGTTTGGTTCATTTTTTTTTCCAGCTTATTGAAAGTCAAAATTCACCCTCTGCAAAGCACTGTTTAAATCCTCTTTACCGTAGGCTTTCAAATCAGAGTCTGAGTTCCTCCCAGATAATGAAAGATGCCAGTGTCAGGTTCTAAGAGCTAAATTCAATCCAGTAGGAGAAATGACACAGAGTAACACAAGCAGCTTTCAAACCAAGAGATACAACATGAATCTCAAATAGACAATCATAGAATTAAACTGTTACTGGAACTATTCCTTCAGTAGCTTTGAATGAGTACAGCTGAGGGATTTATACACTGAGATGGGAGGCAGGGTACAATTAGCAAACTCACAGTGTTATTTACAACTACATATAATAACTTCTGAGTTTTATCCACTTGATAGAGAGATCCCACCAGGAAGAACACTAACTTGAAAATGTCAGACAGAAAACGCACAGAAGTCTCAAAAGTGGAAAAGATGATCTGGGAGAACCTTAAAAGTTATAAAAATAGTAAAAATAGTGAGGGGAATATTTTTGAAAGCCAGAAACCTAAGGTAGAAGTAGTTGAAAGAGAAAGCAGATGATGCATGATCCGAAAGGAAAATTGAAAGATGATGGCGTGTTGAAGAGGCTGACTGTTTAGAAAAGAGAATAGTAAGAAAGGAAAGAAAACTCAAGTGAACAAGCATGAAGAAAGAAGAAAATTAATACCTACAAATCTGCCATGGCTTCACTGTAAACAAATAAGAATTGCTACTGATTTCACCTTTGTTTCACTACCTTGAATGGTGGCAGAGTGTGTGCTGCCCACTCTGTAATGCAGACACAAGCAGATGGGCCACATTCCCACAAACAGCATCCTACACCACCCTTTATTTTCAATCAATTTAATGTAGGTGGAATACAGACAACCAATACTTCAAAGGCTTTTAAAGTCTCAAAACTGGAATAACATTAATTAGAACAAGGATGTCTACAGACCTTTCAGCCTGTGGGTCTTTTTGGAGGGATTTAGCAAAATTTTATTAGCATTATTATTTGTAAAAACAAAAAAAAAAAAGGGGGGGGTGAGAAGAAGTATGAAAGTAAAAGCTATTTTATCTAAATATTCTGATTTTAAATTTAACACTTGAGTTTGTTGAAGCCTTAAAACAAGACAATTCATGGAATTACAGAAGATGCTGAGTTGCAAAGGACCCCCAAGGATCATCGTGTCCAGCTGCTGGTCTCGCTGAGCACCTCTGCCAAGAATCACACCCTGTGCCTGAGAGCCTTATCCAAATGCTTCTTGAAGAACTCTGTAAGCCTTGG